ATTCTATTCTATTCTATTCTATTCTATTCTATTCTATTCTATTCTATTCTTTTTAAAAAATGGTCATAAGTCGCTTTTTTCAATGCCATTGTAACTTTGAATTGTCACCACATGAACTGTTGTAAGTCGAGAATTACCTGTAGTGTATTAACCCTAATCTCTGTCTTGGGAGACTATACCTAAGTTGAACAGCTCCGAAGGTTATTGAGATAGGCCAAAAGTGTCTTTGATGGGGGCTTCCGGTTTGAGCTTCTTCGGCGACAGACCAAAACCTTGTCTCTCTGAGGCTTCGAACTGTGCTCGCTGCTGGAGCGCCCCGAGCCGGCTGGTTTTGGGGCTAAACCACCCCATAGAGGTGGCGAAGAGGGGGGAGATTGCCTGCAGGGTTGAGGAGACCCGCATCTCTCCTCCCCAGCTGGCCATTACTCCCTTTCCCGAAGGCGGTTGTAGCGGTAGTCAGAAATGGCCACCACAAAGAACAACTCGACCGGAAATGAATGTGCAGGAGGAAGATAAGAAGAGAAAGTTTTGGTTGACTGGGTCAAACAGCAAAAGCAACAAATAAGGTATCCTGGAATTTAAACTTAACAACATTGTTCCCAAAGAAGATTTTGAAGCTGAGAAGGAGAGAGAGAAGGGAAAGGATTAGTTTTTTTTCTTCCCTTCCTTATACTGAGAGCTAAGAGACTTAAGCAAGAAACTGAAAAAAAATCCACTTTGACATTAATAGGCATCTAAGCTAAAATAAAAGTCAAAGGGATAAATAAAGATTTCTGGACATTTAAAAGTTTTTAAAAGCTGGAAAGGAGAAAAAAAAAGAATAGAAGGGCAGGATCTGGAAAAATGAAGGAGACTGCCTGGAATTAAGGAATGGAACTGTAATTAAAAGGAACTTACAGTGAAATTTTAACAAGATTCCTCAAAGATACATTTTAATGGAAACTTGGTAACAAAATAATAGAACCCCAGAAAGAAAAAGTGGAAAAAAGAAGCAAGTAGAAACAGCCTTGGATTATTTGGATGACTTGGTGATTTTTGGTTTTTGCATTTAGATGACTAAAATTAACTGGGTGGTTGTTTAAAAGTTTTTAAAATGGTATCACTCTTAGAAGAACTGAAAACGGAACTTAAAAAATGGAAAGAAGATACACAAGAAGGGAGAAGTTCTTTTGGCTTCGTGTTTCAATTCTTAGAAATGGAGATCTGGAACTATGAGAAGCAACAAGAAATGCTTGCAGAACAAGAAGATTGGGACAAAGAAGAAGCCATCTTTAATGATCAAATAATTTTAAGTGGGGGGAAAAAAGAAAAGGGGGGAAAGAGAGTGAGAGGTTTAAGATTAGAAAAAACAACCAAAAAGAAGAACAATTTGAAAGATAAGTAGAAAGCAACAGAAAGCAACAGAAAGAGAAAGCAACAGAAGAGGGGATTACAGATGAGAGAGTTAGAAGTAGAAAGACGAGGGGGTAAAAAGGGGAGGGAGAAGAAGAGGGGGAATAAGGCAAGGAAAAGAAGTTGTAAAAGACAGAAACAAGAAATGGAGAAACAGGGAAAAGATATAAGGATTGTAACCATAAGTTTGTTTAGAGATAATGGGTGAAAATTTAATTGTTAAAAGGGATTCTGCAAAGGTACATAAGATAGCTTTGTTATATTACAAATAGAAATAACTTTAGAAAATATGATGATGGATAAAATATTTATTGTAATGCAGTGGGATGTTTGTTAATAAATAAATGAATTAAAATGATTGAGAGAATTAAAAGGGAACATTTTTAATTATTAATAATGATTTATAAAAATATAAGTGAGAAATATGGGGGAAAAAAGAATTAACTATGGAAAGTTTATAAGTGTTCCCAAGGAAGTATGATATTCAATTGAAAAGAAATGTTAAAGATGTTAAGATTTTAATGCATATTAATGATAGAATTGAATAGGAATGGAATGTGTTTTATTTACATATATATATAATTTTTTCTTTTTAAGAATATAGTGTCTATTTTAAGAATGTACCAAGCCGAATTTGATTGGAAGTTATGTATTATATTGAATGCTATAATCTTAAAGCTATACACTGAAGCTTAAATAAGAGCTTGAATGGATAAAATTAAAGGATATAAAGGTGTCATACTCTAATTGGTAACTATAGGGAAAAATTTGCTTAATAAGAAAAGATAATGTGAAATTGTAACAGGACAGACAAAAGTATAAATATAATGATTTGAATTGAGATAATTAAAACAAAGTTGAGAAAATTAGAAGAGGGGAAAAACTTATGTAGAAAATATAAAATGGTAATAAGATATGGAATAGAATATAAAAATGAGCATGAAATTGAGTTTTGTGTCTGTATGAAGAAGTGATAACCTGGGACCATGCTATTTTCAAAAAAGATGTTTTATTTGTATTTTGTTTTTTGTGAAAACCCAAATAAAATTTTCAAAAAAAAAAAAAGTGTCTTTGATGGAAATTCATTGTGATCAGGTAGACAAGAAATCGACTGCTGAGAATCAACAGGGTTGTTTTCCCATTCACATGAGACCAAAGCCTCATTCTGAATCTTGTTTTGCTGTGTTTGGCATGATCTATATAGTAGATCAATGTCAATTCAAATCATATCAAATGTTTAACATGGCCATAGAGCAGCACAGTTCTATAGGTAAGTTTTCTGCCCAAATTATGGCGTGTTGTTGTGTACCATCTTGCAGAACATAGATGTTGCTGTTCCGATAGTCACTGCTATAAAATCTAGGCTGGATATTGTGATATTTTCAAGGACCTGCACTTGAAACTTCTTGTTATCTGAATGTCACAAAACATAATGCAAAAATGTTTTAAAACAAATGTTGTAAAACCTTGGGTTTACAGTTCCCCATTTAAAGGCAAGCAACCAATTTTTAATTAGGACTTTTCATCCTCAAATAACAACATGTATTGTATCCAATGGAGTCTGGACAATTGACTTAATTTACATCACTTGCCTCAGTCGATGCAAATGATACAAATTGATGTAAATAACATAATTACATCAATTATGACACTCCATGGTGACAATGTAGCTAAATTATGTAATTATGCAAATGCTGTAAACTACCTCGAAAATAGCTGATTTATCTTGAAAATTTTCTATCTCAACCTCCTAAAATCTGCTTATTTCTATCTAACCTCCACTGTCATCTCTTCATGCACGTATAGCATTTTCATGGCCATAACCACATTCTTACAAAATATTTCCAGCATTCCACTACTAATTCAATCAAAATTCCTTGATAGTTTTGTTGCAATCACAATAATTGTTTCTAAGCTGTCTTTGGGTGTCAAAGATCACTGCTTTCTCTCCAACTTTTTTCTTGGAGGAATAGGACAAGATGGATTTTGACATTTCTACAACACAGTTTATGATGCAAAGTTGGTTGTAGTCTGGGCAAAACCCGAACATTTTTGAACTAATTCTAACCCTCTGGGTGAGTTAAATGATCAATGCTACTTTTGATATTTTCACAATATTCTAATCAGGGGTGGGCTTCAAATTTTTTAGTGAGGGGCTCTCTGTCCTAATGATTGGCTGGGTGGGCATGGGTGTGACTGGGTGGGTGTGGTCAACTCTACATTGCTTCTTTGCCCTAATCACCTAAAAGAAGATATATACCAAAAAGTTGTTTATTATTTCGTGCATTTAATACTTGAATAAAAGACTGGGTGAAACCAGGCTTAATAGCAGTGACTGTGAGAGGGATCTTGGAGTCTTAGATGAGTTACATGATTCTTATTATTTGGGAATTAATCCCCTCAGAGGCTAGTGGCTATGTTATCTGATGTTTTTTCAATGGCTCTCCCTCCTCAAGCGCTGAGTGGATTGTTTATCTAGCTTGCAACACTTTTATGAGGTGTGAAATGCTGTTGGCTGAATGCCCTGAAGTTCAATTAAGCCTATTAAGAGCTTTCCCTTGCTGCTTGTCTTTCTGAGGTTATTGGGGGTTCTCTGAGCCCTGCAGAGTCTTAGCTAGGGGCTCTCCTGAGCACCTGCAAGCCCCCAGCAGCCCACCCCTGATTCTAATGTTCCACTGACCCAATTAAGTATATTGTGTGAACTACTGCCTGCAATTTCATCAAGACTCAGAAGTATTGCAGAGACAGTAAGATGGCGGTATGGGGTTCTTGGTGGTCTGTGAGCTTGGTTGGTTTCTTGCAGATGTTTCATTACCAGACTAAGTAACTTCATCGGTGCTAGAAGGGAGTTAATACTGAAGATGTTACCTACACTGCTAATGAAATGTCTGCAAGGAATGAACCAAACTCAGAGAGCACAAGGGACGCCACAGTTCAACACTGAGCTACACATATTGTCTTCTATAAGATGGTGGTAATTCAACAGGTCTTGTTTCCCCTCAGTCTGGATTCTTCTCTACCTTCTTGCATTGACTCCGGCCTGCCTTTGCTTCTCTACCTGAGGCTGGCATTTGCCTTCTGTGGGAGGACAAACAAAGTGGCTGATGGTGCCAATGAAAGGCAACCCCAAAAATGCCCTTTCAAATCTGATGGTGATTTTCAGTGAATTACAAACAAAAGTGGCCGTTCCTTAAAAAACTGTAACTCAGCTTTTCTTTGAAACTGAGGATTTGCCTTCTTCCTCCCTTTCTTTATGACAACGTACCCTTCCCCCCTCCCCACAGTGGGGCTATAATAGCACTTCTGACTGATATCTTTCAGGGACTTCTTAAAATGTTGTATTGTCTTCGTATTCTGTGATAGTGCTCCATTTCTCTTGCAACACTTGTGGTAGTGTTCTCATGTCTGTTGTAAAGTAGTTCTGAATCACTAAATAAATACCTGGTTGTGAGACAAGAGGTAAGTATTACAGGGTACAGCCTGAAACAGTGTAATAAATTGTAAGGACAAACAGGCTCCCCTAAGATTATTGGCCCCTTTGAGTTTAAGGATTCAGTCAAAGGATTTTTATTTTATAGCCTATAACTTGGAGGCCTAACCTAGAGAAGATGTCTGTCTGCTTGCCTGCCTCTCTCTCTCTCTCATCTATCTCTCATCTATCTCTCATCTGTCATCTATCTATCTATCTATCTATCTATCTATCTATCATCCATCCATCCATCCATCCACCCATCCATCCATCCATCCATCCATCCATCTACTGGTATCTATCTATCTACCGGTATCTATCTACCGGTATCTATCTATCTATCTATCTATCTATCTATCTATCTATCTATCTATCTTCCTTCCTTCCTTCCTTCCTTCCTTCCTTCCTTCCTTCCTTCCTTCCTTCCTTCCTTCCTTCCTTCCTTTCTTTCTTTCTTTCTTTCTTTCTTTCTTTCTTTCTTTCTTTCTTTCTTTCTTTCATCTATCTATCATCTATCTATCATCTATTATCTATCATTATCACCTATTTATCATCAATTTATATCTCTCTCTCTTTGTGTTTATCTATTTGTCTGTCCGTCTGTCTATCTTTCTGTGTGTGTGTGTGTGTGTGTGTGTGTGTGTGTGTGTGTGTCTGTATAAGCAAGCACCAACAACTGATACCCAACGGAGTAAGGAGAAAGGAAAGTTTCCACGAAAGAGGTGAACTGGGCATCCCAGCTGGACTTACTGTACTCAGTTCCTGTCATCTGAGCAAGGACCCGGAAGGACTTTGACTGCAAGTTTGAAGACCGGCGGCTCCAATCATCCAGATCTTCTTCAGACTTGTTCTGAGTTTTAAGCACAGCCTGATAGACTGGAGATGCACTGTCTACATGAGGATCTTTAACAGGAAGGTTACTGCAATGCAGAAAGTAACATGCACTGTAACATGGCTCATGAGATCCAGCCCGCCCTTCCCAACGTCCTCGCTGACGTTTAGCCTCAGATCCACAATTTCTTCTTCTTAGCCATGGAAATAAAATTGTTACTTGTGAAGCAAGCAGATACAAGGAAGCCATGATGCAAAGTTGCCTTTCTCTTCACAGGAAGCATGGAGACTATTGTTATCTAGGACACACATTACACCAGGGGTCCCCAAACTTGGTAACTTTAAGCTGTCTGGAGAATTCTGGGAGTTGAAGTCCACACATCATAAAGTTGCCAAGTTTGGAGACCTCTGCATCACACAACGACAAGTAATCTGGACAGGACATGTCTTCATCACACCGGATAGGTAAAATTTACCATTTGCCTGGCTTGCAACTTTCTGAAATATCTCAATCGTCATAGCAGTTCAGAGAACAGCATAGGATTATCCATATTTCCAGGAAGCTGCTGATCTGTTTCCACTACTTGAGACAATGATTGCGTTAAAAATGGAAACGCTGGGAATACGGAATCCACACCCATGTTTTCCAGGAAACAGCTGGTCTTCCCAAAGCCTTTTCACTAAGAGAATGCTATCAAGACTATACAACCTCATCAATTCCCTCCTCGTTGGCATGGCTTGGAGTAGGAAGTATAATTTGAATACCGCATCTGATTGGCGTTTGGGAAGACTTGACAGTAAGTTCTATAATGAAAAGGCTTTCCGTATTGGATTAGGACTATGGTCTTCTTCTTCTGATTGGTTTGCGATGTCCCTATAACATGCTTGCCCCATCATTGATCCAATTTAAGTGTGTTGTGTAGATAGGACTTTCCATGGGACCGTTCCTGATGTCTCAGGATTTGCAGACCCGCTGAGATCACAGTGTGAAGCCACATCTATGTGAAACTATCACTAGCATGTGGTGAATGGAGCTGAATGGAGTTATATTGAGTGGACTTTCTAGGGCTACATCTTTGTGGTGGCTTCGTGGACTGGGTCTGGAGATTGAGATTCCATGCCGCATTTCATTTCATAAGTCTCATTGTCCTTCATAATCTTTATTCTCCATGCACAGTAACACACTTGTTCTGCCACCTCTCCCCGATATGTAGTAGTCTCTCCCATTACAACTGAACAACTGATCAGACGTACACCAAAACTCAGTCAGCTACTTCTGAAGCTCGTAGCAAAGACCAAAGGCAGCTGGTCAATATCCATATTGGCTAGAAATTATAGCACCTTAAACATAATACTTAGAAATCACAAAGGTGGGGGAACAATTCGAAAAACTGTTTTCAATAGTCGTATTTGCCTCAAGAAAGCATCATCAACCCACCCAGAACAGTCTCAGGAGGACACGCTGAATGACTTGAAGGAAAGAACGATTTTCGATTTGCGTAATGGAAACAGTGCAACTTTCACAAGAAAAGGATTAAATGAATGGGGGGAAAATGCCATCAAGCAAACCTGGTGGAATAAGAATGTCCGTGAAGTCTACAGATGTTGGTGAAGCCCCATCAACTGCGGTCAAGTTAGTTGTTTGGTTGATGGGAATCATATCATAGGTCAACAGTATCTGGAGAGTCAGATGTCTTCTTATCACATGCTTTGCTGGACCTATCGTACGTATCTCATCTAGCATTGTTTCTACTGGTGGCCAAGCCAAACATCAGTTAGAAGCTCCCAAACAGATAAGGATTATGACAGAATTCACCATATCATTTGTAAGCATCACAGAATCTTGCAAAATATTGGCTCTGAACAATGATCATTCTTTGCATTTGTCTAATCTACCTTTAAACATCTCCTCACCTTGTGTTAATAAATATCTCAGTTGTGTTCTCCTCGAGAAAAGTTTGCTTCGTTTATTGTTGGCTGTTATTTTCTTAGGAGAATAACAGTCAACAATAGAAATCAGATAGTTCCCCATATTAATTGTATTACTGACAATTGATTGCTTACACTACAGAGTTAATCATATCAGAACTTACATGGGGGAGGGAGTCCATATACTTGATGCAAATAATAGAATATATTTTAGAATTCTGGTCTGAGTACTGACTTTGTGCTAGCACCAGAAACTAGCTTAACTTATTCCATTAAAGCAAAAACCTATTAAGATTTACAGAAAGCCACAAAAGCCTGAATGGAATTGGAATCAACTGAATCTATGAACATCAACCTTTCATACGAGACATGGACACTACGTTGTCCAAACAGGCCCGCAAGGGAAGCTGTGGATTTAGAAGATAAAAAAGGGGTGGTGGTGCATTTCTTGTGAAGTACAATGGGAAAAGAGAAGACGCTAACAAAAACAGCCAGCTCAACAAATGAAAACAAGAAAAATTGAAAGCACAGAAAAGAAAGTCAAACTGTGACAGTGGTTGGAGTGAAGGACAGCATATGTTTAGTAATATCCATTAAAATTCACACAAATGTTGTATTTGCCCAGAGAGAGATATCTCTGGTTAAATTCTTGGGAAACTCATGGGACAAAAAAGGAATTTTTGAAGACAATCCAAGGTGCAAGAAAACACAATGAATCTGTGTGCGTATCTCTAAGAACTGATGTGTATCAAAACACCTCCTAAACACAAATAAGATTTGGTCCAGAGATGACATTAAAGAAGTCTGATGTGGAAATTGCCCTTGGAATTGTGAATTTTTATTTTTCCTTTCTCCATTAACTCCCTTTTGCTTCTTTTGATCAGGATTAAATGCAGACTAGATCCTATTTAAAATAGATCCACTGAAATTAGTGCGGGACAAGGTGATGCATCGGTACATTTAAGTTTTGTGGATTTCAGAGAATCCTTTCTGAAGCAGCTTTGGTTCTACTACATGGATTTTACTTCTGTTACTAATATGTCATTCTACACAGATCTGCAAAATACATTTTTTGACTTACTCCAGATTATATGCTATGCCAGTCCAAATACTGGGAATAGCTTTCGGCCACATGCAAAGTATGAAGAAATACAGTAAGAACCTAGAACAGAAATAATTAAAACCATAACAGTTATATAACTGCAGGATTAATTTCCAGGATCTACAAAATATATCATGTCTGGCCACCAAGCGAGAATCAGTTGGCTAACGCTACCTAAGAGGACAATTTTTGTACCCCAGGACCTCAAATCTTTCTGTCAAGAGAGGATCTTATCAAATGGCAGAACGTTTTTGTCTACATCAGGTCTAAAGAGACATTTCTCAGAAAGCTGCTCTATATGATTCTACCACTTGTGCAAATATGAGGTGGCTTCCAACAACCACATGCAAATAAATTCTTTCATAATACACAAGAAGAGGGACACAATACACCAGCAAACCAACTCTCCATGCCTGTTGGGTGGAATTTCACTGAAGCTAGTGGAGTTTTGTGGAATATGTGTTCCTTCTTGGGATCCATTTCCTCAGTGAGCCGATATTTTAAGCTAGTGTGATATTAACTCCTTGACAAATCTCTCTGAAGCATCTCCACCAAATCTGGGCCCATTCAGATGTATATAAACGACTGAAGACTGAGTTACAACAACCTCAGAAAAGGCGCTTTATCACTTGTAAAACACTTGCAGGCATCTAAAATCTCTCTCTCTCTCTCTCTCTTTCTCTGTCTCTCTCTCTCTCTCTCTCACACACACACACACACACAGAGATACACAGAGAGCTACAGAGAGAGAGACAGAAGAGAGACACAGAGAGAGAGACACACACACACAGAGACACAGAGAGGCAGAGAGACAGAAAGGTACACAGAAAGTGAGAGAGAGAGAGACAGATAGACACAGACACAGAGAGAGAGACACAGAGAGAGACACATTCATATCATTGCATTGTAGGCACTTGACAATCTGCTCACATTTACAACTGGTTGCAGCATCCTTTGGTCTTGTGACCATGAATTGCATCTTTTTAGCCAGTTTCTGGTGGTTTTTTGGATTGGGGGGGGCAATTTTTTTGGGGGGGGAATGCCCATTCTGGAGAAAGGATTTGGACTTGCAATCCTGTAATTTACTTAATGATCACTGTAAAAATGGTCCCAAAATTGGATCCAAACATGTGAGTACCTTGACCTTATGACGTTTATGACTTAGAGTGAAATTCTGGTCTCAACTGCAGTTGTAAATTGTAGATTATTTGTAGTCCCTCTTCTCCCCAGTTTAGAGTGGATTAACCCAGAATGTACAGATGCTAAATTTATATAATACTTTCCCCACCAAAGATGGAAAATGGGCAGGTTGGACTTTGTTATTATTAGTTGGATTTAATCCAGGGGGGCAGTTGCAGTCTTATCCAAACACTGAAGGAGCGAGACTATTTCCTCAAAACCAAAGTGACAAAAACAGGATGTGATGTTGCTTTAAACTGATGGAATTATTTTGAAAGTTTAGGTTAGTGTTGCATGCTTGATACCTCTAAAATAAACAAGTATTGAGAGAAGTGAATGATAAACAACAAGAGGAGAAAATAACCTTGCGTTTTTCAGTTTTTCTCATTCTACAGAGATGGGAAAATGCATCTATTTATGCCAGTGGAAATTCACGGTGAGTCATGTGTTCCAAACCCAAGAGAAAAGCGGTGAGTGATTTGGATCCATAATTACATGATGTTGGGAGAAGCAATACGAATTAGTATGAGAAATCAATGAAAACTCAAAGGAATGTGTCAGAAAGGAGAAAAAAGAAGAAAAGACATGGTTACCAGTGAAAAAAAGAATAAGGGAGTAGATTAACACTTTGCAACTGAAATAAGCTGGTTTGGCATATTATTATAAGTACAAGAGCCAAGTTGATTCTGGAGTCTCCAAAGTTTTCTAATGTATGCATAAAATAAAGGCAAGAAAGGTTCTTCAGCAGAACTGAAGAAGCTTCTTGGATGAGAAGCAAAATGTCTTCAAGGAAAAACAAAGTCCAGTTGCCTCTTGAAAAAGCACCTTTGGAACAACCATGACCTGGATCAGGGGTCGCCAACCTTTTGGACCCCAGGGACCACCAAACTCATAATTTTAAATCCTGCAAACCAGAGACCCTGGGAAAATCCCCCAAAAAGTCTGCAGGAAAATTCCCCACCCCGTCTTCCTACCGATTGATCATTCTTTATTTGGGATTGCAGGATACTGTTTCCAACTCCCTTCTCGGGGGCGGGGGGGGAGAGAGAGAGAGAGAGACTTTTGGCTTCATGCAAGGAAAACAACAGAAGCAGCAGAAATCTTTCTCTCTCTCCCTGAAACTCCACCAGAAATGAGTCTTTGTGAGACTTGTTGCACTGATGCAGCCTCTTGGAGCAGGAGGCCTTGTAGGGTCCCATGCAGCCAAAGGCAGAAGAAAAAAGCAGAAAGAAGCAGCCGGTGGCCAGGTAAGGTACATGAGGTGAGTGGGGCAAGTTCCCCCCCCTCCCTTTCCCCCTTCTCCTCACTACCTCATGTTGTTCGCAATGCAAGTGATACAAGCCTCGTGTTCCCACGCAGCCTGGATTAATTGCTTTGGGGGGTACTTTGGGGGTGACATTTCTCTGTGGACCACTACAATTTTCTCACGGATCACCACTGGTCCCTGGCACACTGGTTGGCAACCACTTACCTGGATGACTAAGAATCTCCATAGCTATTCATTCATACTAATTAGGACTTTGCTTTCAGTAGCAGAATTATACAGTTGAGAACAATAACCCCAACCCATTCAAACAACTGTTCAATTTTCTTTTGCAAAAACCACCAATGATGTCACATATTAACCTAGGATTAATTCATATTACCGTAGCAATATTAATATTGATATTAACAATATCGTGGGTATGAAGCCATGAATGAGAGAGGCACTGCCATCTGATCTTTGTTCTCATGGTTTGCCTTGGGTTGCACTCCAGTTCTGAGATACAAATGGTCCCATCCCTGATTTGAATAATTTTGCTATCTAGGACAACAGAAAATCTGCTGGTAGCTTTTTTGCATGCAAATGTTGTGTGTGAGGAATACATGGTGGGAATCTGACGCAGAGTTCATTTCATCACTTAGAAAGATGTTCCTTTCCATGCAAGTTGAGAGACAAATTGACTTTGTACTACAAAGGGGAGGAACCCTGGAGAATAAGCATCTAAATTCATGCACAGCCAATGTGCATTTACATTTCTACAGACAGGCAGATATCTTTCTTTGACTCAAGCCTTGTGAAATCTTGAGCAAAACTAATTACAATGTTCTGCTTGGAATAAAGCACTAAATATATACATATCCTCTCTCCCAAATTACTGCAATTGCTACAGTTTCCCCCTCCCCCCCCCCCAAAAAAAAACCCTCACTTGGAGAAATATTCATGCGTCTGATTGTCCTTGAAATAAAAACATTTACAGAAGCAACATTAGCATTTGATACTAAAACAGTTTCCCAAGGGCTGCATAATATCAACATTTTTGCTAAAACAGGACAAAAGGAACTAGAGACTAGGAAGATTCTTGCCCTCAAAGGCATCAGAGACAGCTCTTCCTATTCCACATTGGTTGCAAGATGCACACATTTTTAAAATTGAAAGGAATAGTAAAGTTACACCATTGCATAGTCATTGTTAAAAGGGAGAAAGGAGTCACATGAAAGGGATGCTATGAAAGGGAAACCAGTCAAAGATACACAAAGTAGCTGCAGAGAAGAATGTATGGGTGTGTGGGTGGGTGGATGGATGGATGGATGGATGGATGAGTGGGTGGAAGAAAGGATGGATGGAAGAATGGATTGAAGGATGAATGGACAGAAGGAAGAATGAATGGATAGATGGCATGATAGGTGAATGGAGAGATGGATGAATGGATAGATGAAAGCATGGGTGAATGGATGGATGGATAGAATGGAAGGATGGATGAATGGATAGTTGGAAGGATGGATGGATGGGTGGGAAGATAAATGGATAGTTGGAAGGATGGATGGATGGGTGGGAAGATAAATGGATGGATGGAAGAATGGATGGATGAAATGATGGGTGAGTGCTAGGATGGATGAATGGATGGATGGATGGAAGGAAGGAAGAATGGATAAATGAAAGGATGGATAAATAAAAGGATGGATGAATGGGTGGAGATATCCAGAAATGCAGTGAAGAGAAATGAGATTTCCATGGATAACCATCCCAAACAGAGAATAAATCTCAAGATAATCTGCTAAGAAAGCTACCAAGGGAAAGCACATGTGCACAATGGGTCTAAAATGTAAAATAAGCAGATCTGTTCATTTCAGCGGAATACCACAAAAACATTCTTTGCTTTCCCATAAAGCTTATAATGTTATCTTTTATCTACCTTTAAGCTTTACATGCGCGTAAATGTTGGTTTAATGTCTAAGTTTGTTAATAGACTGAGAAAATAAACAAATGGATATGATAGTCTTGGCCGTTGTAATCTACAAAAGGATTGTTTTTTTTTTTTTTTAAAAAAAGCTTTTAGTATAACAGTTGTATTAGAATGCTAGAGGAGATTTTATGGTTGTTTCTCGGCTGTTTTACTCTTACCTTACTTATGGGGACATTTTTATTGTTTTATATATTAGGTTGCATAGCAGATGCGTATGTTTATATTACCCTGGAGAAATTTTAAGTGTTCCCACAATTCTGCTCAGATTTGGCTGTGTACAAATCCAATAAATGAAAGAACATGTTACCAGAAAATGGGAGGGAGGACCAATTTGTAACAGGGAAAGACAAAAGAGGCAGAACATCATTTTCATGGGCGTGGCTCAGTCCCACCTTTTTAACTATTTCTCCAACTCCATGGAACATAGAATAATATGGGTCGGAAGGGTCCTTGGATGCCATCTAGTCCAGCCTCTCCCCATGGCAGGAGACTTTATACCATTCTGGACAAATGGTTTCCCAATCTTATGATACTTGACCCTTGACCCTCAATATCTTTTCTTTTTATGTACACAGAGAGCATTTGCATCAAGACAAATTCCTTTTGTGTTCAATCACACTTGGCCAATAAAGAATTATATCCGTCTATTTCTTCTTGAAAGCCTCCATTGAGAGAACACCTTCAATTCGGGAAGGCAAGCCATTCCACTGGTTAATTGTTCTCACTCTCATGAAATTTCTCCTTAGAACTAAGTTGCTTCTCTCTTTGGTAAGTTGGAAACTTATCCATCTGTTACTTCTAGTCCATCCCTGAAGTGCTTTGTGGAATAGTTCAACACCACCCCCACCCCCGCAATCTTCTCTATGATAGCCCTTCCAATATTGTCAAACTGTTCTCATTCACCCTTGGTCCTTCTCTGTTCCACAGTTTTAGAAACAATGAGTGATGGGCCACTGCCCTGTTGGTGTGGTTTTAGCAGAATATTTCAGAACGTTGGGATTAGAGAAAGGAGCGGAATTAATAGGACATCTTGCAAAACATCAAAGGGTTTCCTGCCCCATGATGGTAGTAGCCAACTTGCTCCATCAAATCATCCCACCTCTGTCGTTTGGAATAACAGGAAGGTAGACTTGTAACACATACAGCATGTACATGCAGAAAGAAAGGGGTCTTACCCAGCAAATTCACCACCCTGGGCCTGAGCTTGGCCTGCAATGGCGTCCATGATAGCATCTTGAGAGTACATGCTGATGGGTGTGTTATATTGGGCATGAATGATGGTGGCTTTGCCCCCAGGGCCTTTCACCTCTATGGGTTTATGCGTGGACAGTGCAGAATCCTTCAGGACATTGGGGTTGAAACGTTCCACGTACTCCGTGCTGGGATGGAGGAGGAAGTGAGGAATCAGGAAGTGTGGGGAGGAAAAAAAAAAGAAGGAATGATGAAAAGATTAAGGAGGGGGAAGGAAAAGATTTAGGAGCACAGTGGAATATTCACACACACACACACACACACAGAGCTTTGCGTTTGATCCCAGACAAGAAGAGTAGCATTCCACAAGCAGCAAAGAGTAAGAAGACAACTTTTCCTGAAAATGCATCTGATAACTTCTAACTGAAAGATTAAAAAAAAAAAAAAAAGAGCGACTGACGTAGCCAGTAAACACCTTTGTGAATTATCTGCTTCAATTTAATTCATGTTAGAAGGCATGTCTCCCCTTTGAGGCAGGCTAATTTAGGAAACAAACACCGCATAAACAGTGCTAGAACCTACTTTATGGATCTAGGTTACAAGAAAATCTTGTGTTTTTTAATTTTCTTCACTCTTACACCTAAGAGCGCCGAGTGAGTCGATTTGGAATTTCTTCTGCAAGCTTTTTCTTGGATGCAGTGGATATTTTTGTAGCACCTGCTTATTTTCTTCAAAGGCTATCTCAGGACTCCTATAAAGCCAGCACGCGACCTTTAAATGGCCCTCTATATAATGCATTTGGCCTAAGATTCAGTTAGATGGCAGCAGAGAGAAGCAGAAAACTCTTTATGGCCAACTAGTGATCATTAGAGACGCGGTGGCTCAGTGACTAAGACGCTGAGCTTGTTGATCAGAAAGGTTGGCAGTTCAGCGGTTCAAATCCTTAGCGCCATGTAACGGAGTGAGCTCCCGTTACTTGTCCCAGCTTCTGCCAAGCTAGCAGTTCGAAAGCATGTAAAAAATGCAAGTAGAAAAATAGGGACCACTTTGGTGGGAAGGTAACAGCATTCCGTGCCCCTTCGGTGTTTAGACATGCGAGCCACATGTCCAAGGAGATGTCTTTGGACAGCTCTGGCTCTTCGGCTTTTTAACGGAGATGAACACTGCCCCCTAGAGCCAGGAACAAATAGCACATATGTGCGAGGGGAACCTTTACCTTTAGTGATCATTGGGTGTGTGTGTGTGTGTTGCATCTTAATTCTGATATTCCTACTTAGGGACGATCGTGGATTGGCTTTTCTTCATGCGAAATTTCAAACAATTAGAAGTTTTTTTCTTTATTAGATTGGCATTTATCAGAACCCTCTGAGGCCTGCCGTTCAGGAATATTCAAATACAAATTGCAGCAATGTGCATAAAGAAAGCCTCTGGGTTTTTATGGATTTAGAGCCAAATGATCAGAGAAAAAGCACCAAATGTTTGCCATCTTCAGAGCTGCCAAAGGGTGGGAAGTCTTTAGGGATACAGCAGAATGAGGTCTTTGTAAGGGGAGCACCATGACTCCCAAAACAATACTGTACATGCACTTCAGGAGAATGACACCCAAGACAAGGACCTCAACATGCATTGAAGTCTAAAGCAACACATTTGCAGAAACACCTTGATTGGAGCCAAAGCAGGTCAGCCTCCTCACAACACAACTCACAAACTGAAGCACCACACTCTTTGCAAGGACACTGATTTTTGCAGCCATTACAAGCTCCATTGATTAGTTGCCCCGCCTTTCTTCCTGCCCAGATGTATGGGAGGAATGGAAGCCATCGACTCCTACAGAGGTAGGATGGCAACCAATGACCACCCAGCTCTGATTTTTGTAGTCTTCTGAGTCCCTTCTGCTAAATAAATTGATCACAGAGCTTGCCTCCCTTTTAGGGAGAAAGTTCTGGTGTCCTCAGTGAAGTCAGAGGTTGGTATTCAGCCAGTTCTGACCCGTTCTGGAGAACCGGTAGCAGAGATTTTGAGTAGTTTAGAGAACCGGCAAATCCCACCTCTGACTGGAGATTTTACAGTATCCTTCCCCAGCCATGCCCACAGAACCGGTAGTAAAAAAAAAAATTGAATCCCACCACTGCTCTTGGTATGAAAGATTCACAGGAGTTGCATAGGAAGATTTCATCTATAGATTATTTTTTTTCATAGATCATCAAACCTTGGAGACTTGCAAGGATCTTCCAGAAGAATGTTCTGGAAACATGCTTTGGAGGAAAAAAGGCCCTTCCAGATAAAGGAATACATTGGCAATGAATTCTGGCCAAAATATTAGGTTAGGTTTATCCTTGGAACAGACCCTGGGGAAATGCCCTTTCGATATGATACCAGACACCCCAATAAGGTGTTAAAGAACATTCCATTTGCAAGCAGATGGAACAGGGGCACAAGGGAGCAGAACATGCTGTTCCGAGAAAATGGACATCGCCATTTAACACTGACACACTCTTGGATACTAACTTGGTCATAGGATTGGTTACGACCTAGAGGAAAGAAAGAAAAGAAAAGATCAGAGTTCCACTTATTTCTTTAACAGGAAGATATAAAGAGGTATTAAGCAGGCATCTAAGTCTTTTGGAAAGAAAGAAAGAAAGAAAGAAAGAAAGAAAGAAAGAAAGAAAGAAAGAAAGAAAGAAAGAAAGAAAGAAAGAAGGAAGGAAGGAAGGAAGGAAGGAAGGAAGGAAGGAAGGAAACAGAAACAAAGAGAAAGAAAAAGAAAAAGGAAAAACAGAGAGAGAGAGAGAGGAGGGAAGGGAAAAAAGAAACAGAAAGAGAAAGAAAGAAAAATTGAATGAGAAAGAAAGAGAAACAGGAAGGAAGGAAGGAAGGAAGGAAGGAAGGAAGGAAGGAAGGAAGGAAGGAAGGAAGGAAGGAAGGAAAAGAAACAAAGAAAGAATAGAGAGAGAAAAGAGGAAAGGAAGGAAAAAAAGAGAAAGAGAGAAAGAAAGAGAGATCGAAAGAGAAAGAAAGAAAAAAGAAAGAAAGAAAATACAATGTAATGAAGAGAAGGAAATATAGGGACCAGAATTTATCCACTTGAATTTATAGAGTTACAATAGTGTTTGGCCAAACCTATGCATTGCTGAACCACAACAAGCTGAACATACAACTTGGTTGTTCAAGAGCAGCACAAAGCGCCAGAGATCTGCCCCCAATATAGCAAATCCAGGAGGAAGTTATGGAGTTAGGAGAGACCCAAGTCTTCTATTGATCTCCATCAGAGGCCCCCAAACTTGGCAACTGGCTGGAGAATTTTGGGAGTTGAAGTCCACAAGTCTTAAAGTTGCCAAGTTTGGGGACCTCGATCTCCATGGTTGAAATGAATGGAATACAGCTGGGGGGGGGGGGGAGTGAAATTTGTTCTTCCTTCCAGATACCAGATTTGCTTGATATAGAAGTCTCAGTTGTACCCCCCGATCTCTCCCTTGTAAATAAAGAACAGACTCCAACCCTATAGGGGGGAGTATAGATATGTGCTGTCAAGTGCAAAGAATCAGAACCACCTGTTAGATTGCAGCCCAGATTTATTCTATACACAAGAATTTGTTCAATTAAAGTTCAATACTCAACTGGTACCAGATAAAGGTCAACGGAATTCAGGAGGGGTTGGGCTTGGACCATTTGTGGCAATGTAACGACTCTAAGCTTATAACATGCTTAACTCACCCCCCACTAGTTCTGCCTGCTCTTCTTTTTTGTGCCTCTTCCTATTCCGTATTTCAAAATGGAAACTAGGTGTGCCCTTCTCTCCTTGAGAGTGGGAGAGTTGAAAGAAGAGTCGAAAGCTCTCCTGGAGTCAAGATCAACTTCTAGTGACTTCATGGAGACATGTAACCTCGAACAACGGCATACAAGTTGGTTTGCTGCGGCTTCCTTCCAAATTTATATTTTTAGCTTCCCGATACAATCCTAGATTTCCCATCCAAGTGCTGATCAAGGCTGACCCTGCTTAGCTTCACCAAGCTCAACCGAGGCTGACGGGGTGCTGCATTCCCTGTGACAGATGCATATGGCAGGGGTGGGCTTCAAAAAATTTAGCAACCGGTTCTCTGCCTGGTTGCTGGGTGGGTGTGGCCATGGTGAGTGTGGCCTAGTCGGCCTCCTGCATCATGGGGGGGTCGTTTTCACCCTCCCCGGGCTCTGGAGGCCCCCTGGAGGCTGGAAATGGGCCCGTGAGCTGCGTGGAGATTCCAGGGTGGGAAGGGGCAGACTGGGTGAGGCCAGCCAGGCATTGCAACTACTGGTTCACTGAACCAGATGTAAAACTAACATCCGATTCACCTGAACCAGTGTGAACCAGTAGCAGCCCACCCTGGCTGCAGGAACATGGAAATGAAGAGAGACCATTGCTGTTCTCCAAACATCTCTCCCTTACAACTCTACCGGTACCATTTTGGTGGGGGATGGGTGGGTGGAAATATAAAAACTCTCCATTGCTGAAAAATTTCAAACCTCTGGTTTAATCTTCTGTTTCTTGAAACCCCAAGATACGTTCAACCCTTAAATAATCATTTCATTTTAATATACAGCATTTAGAACAGTGGTCCCTAACCTTCTGGGCACCAGGGACAGATTCCATGGAGAAAGGTTGTTTTTTTCGTGGAACAGAGGGAGAAATGGTTTTGCATGCCACCAACCAGGCTGCGGAAGGGGCTTCGCTTGTTTGCGTAGCCTGGTTAGTGGCATGCCAGGGACTAGTGCCAGTCCATGGATTAGGGGTTTGGGGACCGTTGATTTAATGCTGAGTCAATACAACTAGAAAATGAATTGGTGTAAAACAACCATCGGTATAAGAACAGTTATAAAATCAAATGCATGATTTTGCAAGTTATTGAAATAAACTTTGACAGTTCTTCTATCTTCTAGCTTTATGAGCCGCCGTGGCACGGTGGTCAGAGTGCAGTACTGCAGGCTACTTCTGCTGCCTGCCGGCTGCCTGCAATTTGGCAGTTCAACTCTCACCAGGCTCAAGGTTGACTCAGCCTTCCGTCCTTCCGAAGTGGGTCAAATGAGGGCCCAAATCGTTGGGGGCAAGAAGCTGACTCTGTAAACTGTTTAGAAAGGGCTGTAAAGCACCGTGAAGTGGTATATAAGTCTAAGTGCTATTGCTAGCTAGCTTAATGAAATCAAGAGCAAGATCATCTTGGAGCTTTACAAGATGAGACAGGTTCTTCAAACTGAACCTTGAAATGAATATGCAGCCAAGTCAATGGAAACAAGATCAGAGCTGACCACCGTTTGCTAATCTAAAGTATCTTCAACTATGTCAGGGTTTATGAATTATTTTTAATTGCTGGCCTACAAGGGAACATTGGGAGAAATTCTGTCTCATTTGTGTTTGCTCTATCTTCTTTAAGCTACAGGATCTTAAGGACAGGGATGGGTTAAAAGAAATATTAATATATGCAAAAGAATAACACACATTCAAAGAGACACTTAGCTCTTTGGTTCTTCATGTCAAATGCGCAGATCCACAATCCATATCAAGTTAAGTAGCAGTAGTAGTGCCATAAGATTAAATATCACCTCACCCTGATTTCTTGTGGCTTAATTTCTGCAAGTGGCTCTTTCTTTACATGCACAGGGGCGTCTATTCTATTTTATCTGTAGAGATTAAAGATCCGCCATGGATGAATGATGTATAAATTAATTAACCTTCAGAGGTGATAAATGTGCAAATCCAGTAGAAGATTATGTAACAAAAAAAAAATACTTCTGGAAATTTTCTGATTCTACTTTGGATTCTACATTATGTGAAGACTTGGTATTCCGAAAAAGAGGCTAATGCTAGGAAAGGTAGAAGCAAAGAATTTAGAGTAACAAGAATAGAATTCTTTATTGGCCAAGTGTGATCGGACACACAAGGAATTTGTCTTGGTGCAAATGCTCCCAGTGTACAAAAAAGAAAAGAGACATTCATCAAGAGTCAAGAATCATCAGGTACAACACTTAATAATAGTCATGGGATACAATAAGCAATCAAATCATACTATTATGAGGAAATAGATTCATCTTTAACTAGAAATCGATGATAGATTAGATGATAGAAAGAGATGGATGGATGGATGAATGGATGGATAGATGATAGATAGATAGATAGATAGATAGATTAGATTAGATTAGATTAGAGTAGAATAGAGTAGGATAGGATAGGATAGGATAGGATAGGATAGGATAGGATAGGATAGAATTCTTTATTGGCCAAGTGTGATTGAACACACTAGGAATTTGTCTTGGTGCAAATGCTCTCAGTGTACATAAAAGAAAAGAGACATTCATCAAGAGTCAAGAATCATCAGGTACAACACTTAATGATAGTCATAGAGTACAATGAGCAATCAAATCATATTAGGAAACAGTCAATAAAAATAATTAGTATACAAGCAACAAAGTTACAGTCATACAGTCATAAGTGGGAAGAGTTGGGTGAAAGGAAGGTTGAGAGGATTATTAAGAGAGGAAGAGGATGATGAACGTAGTGGTTATTGGGACGACGATTGAACCATTGGGCGTCCTGACAGAACAGCTTAGGGAGAAAAACCTATCTGATTGCTAGGAATTTAGAATAACTTGACGGTGCCTAATCAGTTAATATGAAAACTGTCACCACTTGGCTTCCAGGAGAACCCCAAGGTCTACAACCATTCTTCAGAGTGCCTGTAATCGTCCCACCTACAATATGCTATATGGACAGATCTTCTCTATCCTGGCCTGGTTCAGGTTTAATTTGTTCCTTTCTGAGCTGCACTTGATACTGGTCTTAAGATCCATGCCTTCTCCTGCATCCAGTGAGAAGCAGGGGCTGGATCTGATCCACGAATCAATGGCATCTCTCTGCAAACCTCCCGGTGACCTTTCCCGGCAAGTTTTATTTAGCAGCTGAATGCGCGCGAGAGAAGGTGGTGCCCCTTGGATCGAGAGCCTGTGCAGATACCCAGGGCCACCTTTTCATATCAACTGACTGAAAGAGGATCCTGGAGACCTGATCCTATACCCCAGCCCTGCCAGGTGTAGCAGAAGGATGCCCTGGTTAATGGATCAAGCAACACTGAGAAGTTCAGGTGACACAAGAATCCATGTCCCTCTTGCGACGTAGACATGTCTGAGAAAACATGACGGATAATTCCGTTTCCACACTTGGCTGAAAAACCACAATGAGAATCCCTCTAATTATTAATGACCACATCTTGAAACTTGATCACCGCTGATCAAGGGATTTGGATGATCGATTACTAAAGCTCAATAAGCTGTTTGCTCTCCAGTCCCGTGGAACAGCCTTAGGTGAGCACCCAAAATGAATGTAAATAATGTTAAATTGGTGATCCCTTGAAACACTTCTGAGGAGCATTTCACACCTCGAATGAATTTTTCCACCAAGTCACAACCAGCTCTCTGATGAGATATTCTACTAGTATGGGCGTGACCAATTTATATTAATCACAGTTTATTTTTTTTAATTTATTTTTTAATTTTAATTATGAGA